TCAATCACCGTCACAGGCACACTGGGGTTCCGCAGCGACCAGCACGCGGTCTACCCGATCGCGCTCACCCGCCAGGAGAATCCTTCCCCGCCAGCTCATTCGCCCGTTCCTCTTTGCCGCGATGCATAGGGTCAGTAACCCAGGGTCTCGAACAGAGGGCGGAAACACGGAGACAAGCATTTGCAGTCACATCCAATAGCGCACATGGTTAGGCTTGTTCGCCTCAACCAACCCCGCGCGTCTCTGTGCTCCCAGGTTTGGGCTCGGCGGCTACGCTGCAGCGTGACGGGCCCACTGATTGGCTCAGCGCTCCCATCCCGTCTATTTGTGTCGTGCGCCTCAAGCACCTCACCAGTCGCGGCGCACCCTCTCAATTCATCGAGCGCTTACCTGGAGAAGAGGTCGGGGGCCACTGGCAAGTGCCGTGTATCCTCCGTTGGGTAGTATATACTCCGACTTAACCATGGTCTGCTCCAAAGACGCTGGTCTTGGGCCGTCTATCATCCCACGAATACTCGAGACAGCTTCGATTGGGGGGCCCGCGCGTGTTATTTGTTGGGTCTACCACTGTCCTGGGATCAACACGAGTAGGTAAGAGGACCAGCGACCTAGGCTTGATTCTCATCGCAACTGTCCTTCAGTAAAGGCATCTCACTTGCTTCCCTCATACCACTGGCGAAACCCTGAACCCGCCATGTCGGCACCACCGCCTCAACCACCGGGAGGGTACTCACTCTTTCCGAATCCTAACAGCAAGCCTCCAACAACAAAACGGCCATCCTCAAGAACGAGGAGGTCAGAATCCCGCGAGCGCTCACGAACACGAGCGCCTACGCCCGGCGCCGAGGCGACCACTTCATCGGCCCCTCATGCCATTGATACTTCGCCGCCTCGCCAAGGCCGCAGACACAGACAAAGGCCTTCGATCGATACCACAGTCTCACCACAGACCATCCATCAGTCCCCGATGGACGACGTGCAGATAGCGGTAGCTACACGCGTGGAGGCCCCAGTTCATGTGCAAAGACCACCACCCGTCGCAGATATTCCGCCTCGTTCGGACACGGCCTTTTCGGAGGCCCAGACCCTGGTTCGCAGCAGCAGCACTCGATCGCGCAGCTCAATAGCCAAACTGCCTCTGCGAGAGGAATCCTCTTTGGCAGGGCAGCCTTCAAGGCCTCAACCCGCCATTAGGTCCATCTTCCCGCAGTACAACCCAGAGGTGTCTCTGAACCAGCAAGACTACTTCCCGACTCAGACAAGCCCAACGCACATCCCCCGTGCGGTCATTAGCAGGATGACCTATCAACCGGAGGACCACCACGTCGAGGCTTCGAGTCCAGCGGTTGTAAGCCCAATCGCGAGTCCGTCAGCCGCGTCTCAACCTGCACCACCCGCCCCATCTCAGGCCCAGGCCCAGGCCCAACGATGGCCTCCGAGGAACCACGAGATTCCCACTCTTCCGGTTGAGTCTTCCACAGAGCAGCTGAAGAACTTGTGGAAGGTCGTCAATGGCTGGAAAGCCTCACCCTCTGACGGGCGAGTCTTCTGCATGAAGCTCTCTCAGGAGAAGGACGCTCCCGTCTACACGCTATCCTCCAAACAACAACCATTCTACAATATGCGTCTAGACCCTACCTCTGCCTCGGCTATTGTAACACTTAGTCGACATGACCCCAACAAGCAGTACAAAGCCGCCAGCGCCTCCACAAACTCGTCAGCGAGTAGCATCATCAACAATGTCGTAGGAAGCAAAGATGCGAACAAGAACTCCGACAGTAAGAATTGGCAGGAAGTCATCAGCACAACGCTTGAGGAGGAGTCCCGTCGGCATCGCCCCAACGATGGCCTCGTTGCTCTTCTCTACCCTGCTGCTGCACAAAATGTGGCGCTGAACCGGCCTGATGATGCAAATGCCATCGCCATGGCCGAGACAGAATGCACTCGTCTCGTCTGGGATGATGATTCGGGTTCCCACTTTCTCGTTCATCCTGCCCTCGCGACGCCTTTCTGCATCACTATCGAGCGCAATGCCGCCTGGAGCCGCACCGAGTACACGCTCGAGCACCATGAGAGCCCACAGCACCTGGCCAAGCTTACCCGTGACGGTACTGGCTCGGGTTGGCTCGAAGTCGACACCGCCATCGCCGCCAAGATTGAGAGCTTCTTCGTCGTCGATGTCGCTGTTGCGGCGCTGCTGCTCGTTGCTGCTGGCGACGAGCGGACGGCGCACGTGGAGACGTTTGAACCCCCGCCGCTGCCGCCTACACTAGATACTGCGAGCGGTGATGGGCGGTCAAGTCGTCTCGGCGGCCGCAGCGGCAAGAAGAGCAGTAAGCGCAAGATGGAGGCGTTCGAGATTGACGTTGAGAGCCAGGACGGCGGGTTTGCCAAGTTTGAGCAAGTGACCAAAGAGACGCGCCGGATGCTGCCGTGGCCGCTGAGGGCGGCGCTCAAAGTGCTCGGCGGGATTTTCAAGTGCTTCGTGTGGTGTCTGACGATCATGTTCAAAGCACTCGCGGCGGTTGTGGTCGGGCTGGCTCGATGTGTCGGGGTGAAATAGGAGTTGCGACTCGCGTTGCGTCAATAGCGGTCGTTTTTTTATGGTTATGATTACGGATGGAATATACCACGAGACGACTGATCTCCGGTCAGGGTAGGAAACTGGATTATTAGCATGGGAATTCAAGCGTCTTCGGGGTACCAGGGAAAGGGTCTGTAATGTCCTCGGCATTTCCTATATCTAGCAGGAAGAAAACCTATGCTCGGTCATTGGGTATCGCTCAAACAAGAATTGACATGAAAGTGGCCTCTCAGCTCCGAAGCGATCCGATCACCTCTTCCGCGTGCGGACCATGATCTTCTTTCCCTTCCTCGTTGTGCCTCCTGACGTTGCCGTCTTGGCCATCTTGGCCTGCTGGATCTCAAGCTCCTGCTCCGCCTTGGTCAGGACCTTGAGTTTCCTCTGGGCCAAGGCCAGCTCGGCACGCAACCGCTGCAGGTTCTTCGTTTTCCTCGCCGTCTCCTCGTCCACCGCCTCTTCCTTCTCGTCGTCGTCATCTTCGTCGTCGAGCCCGTCCGAATCATCCGCGCCCCCCACTTCCTCCTCCTCCTCCTCCACCGCCTCAAGCTGCTGCGCCACATCGTCGACGAAAACAATCTTTTTCGGCTTCGGCACCTCCGCAAAGTCGAACTCGTCATCGCCCTCCTCGTCCTCGTCATCCCCGGCCGGCAGCCCCTCGGCCGCGAGCACGACGGCCTCCGTCAGCCTCTGGACCTCGCGCATGACGACGCTGCGCGTCGTGCGCACATAGGCAATGTCCTGGGTCTTGAGCAGGCGCACGAGCGACACCTCCATGGCGCGATTACCGCGGTCGCCGGTGACGGTGCCGCGCCACTTCTTGCCGTCGAGCACGCGGGACCCGGGCCCGTCGCGGGAGAGCATGCCGAAGTAGAACTCATCCTCGTTGCGGTCGGCGGCCTTTTCGCGCAGGGACTTGAGCGTCGCGGACTTCTTTTTGTAATCTTTCTGTCGAAGTTGGCGGTCCTAAGAAAAAAAAGTGGCAAAGCATGTTAGGTCGTTTGTCTGCAAGGAAGAGCGAGAGGAGGAGGGGGGGATGCGAACCTTGTCCTTCTCGAGGAGGCCGAAGCGCTTGCGCTCGAGGGGTTGGGCACGCTCGCGGTGAGAGCGCCTCTGTACGGCGTTTCGCATGGACGACATGGTGGCGATTGGCAGGCGAGAGGTTGGCACGGGGGCTCGTGTGGTGGAGGTGCTTCAAGATGGTGAGAAGTCAAGATGGACTGCTGCAGAAGGCGGCATGGCGGCAGAATTTGTGAAATTTTGGGCGGTGAGGATTTGGGGCGTTGGACTTTTGATGTGGTCTGTGCTGACTGTGCGTTGCCTTGCATCGTATCTTATCTGCCCCTCCAACTACTGCCCACTGCCAAATCCCGACGGGGTCGCATGACCCCAACAACTTCATCACGATGGCCTCGCTTCTACACAGTTCTTCTGAAACCCAATGGCTTCTGAATACGGATAACTGAGGTCATTTCTTCGTCCTTTATCTTTCAGCACCATCCATATCCTAAAGTAGAGCTGGAGCGGGCGCAATTTGTAAGCTACTCCTCAACCTTCGTGAATGCCAAACGCCAAGGCACAAACATTGGAGAGTGTCGCGAGATGCATCACAAGCCCGTCATCCACAGAGCCAGAACTCCGCATCGAGAAGACAAGTGGAATTCAAATTGAGTCTTGGCGAAACGCGACGAGCTGCCAAGCCGGATCCTGTTCAGAATCACCTTTCCCACGCACGAGCTGGAGCTAGTCCTACGCCTGAAACCCGAGGCTCGTCGAGCTGGATGAAACAAACCTCTTCTCGAAGGCGGCTAAGCGACGCCTAGTAACTATTGTGCTCATGAACTGCTTTGTACCCTTGGCTTTTAGCAAGTGCAGAAATGTCATCCCCAACAGGAACAGAGAAGAGGGTAAGCAGTTTTGGTCACTGACAATTCACCAACGCTTATCAAAGCCGTTACGGTGGTTCGAGAGAAGTAGAATGGACCGAAAGCCCCCATTTCATCAACAAGGTTTTGGTGAAAATGACGGAAATTTCGGTTGACCTGTCATGGACCCTCAAGAAAGGGCGGCAGATCACCACCACAGGATGCCCTCCTTGACCCTGCCATCGACATGTAGATGGCAATTCGTGGGCACGGACTGCTGAGACATCCTCCCACCACGCCATACCACGTTGCGAGGTCTGATCGCTGGGTTCGTCTTGGGTGTTTCACTGGAAACCTCTACCCGTTCAACGACCCCTCGCGACGCGTTCCGCCGCACAATGGACCCTGTGATGCCCGCCCAGTCGCTGGGCAGTCGCCGCGCAGGGGCAGAGGACGATCATACAAAATGACCCCTCTCCGCGCTCTCACATGGTGAAGACGGACTACACCAGGCTGGCTCTCTGTTGTGCATCCATACCCCCCTTCGCTTCATCATGGTTGCCAGAATCACTGTTCGGTACCAGACGACGTCCTTCAGGCTAGTCCTGGGACTGGTTGCCTTTGTCATTGTTTCTCTAATGTATCTTCAAGATGACGACATGCTGCTGCCGAAGCAGTTTGTCCAAGTCACGACTCGCCCTACTACCTCGTCGTACAACTGGGCCAAGCATCCCCAGAAATACCTCACACGCGAGGGCAACATGGCGCGGCTGCCGACCGGAAAACCTTTGGCTTTGCCCAAGGTTCAACACGACTTTGAAGCTGAGCGGTCCAGGGACCTCAAGAGGGCAAGACATCTGTCTGTCTTCTCGTCACCACAGAACTTTGAGCGCCAGCAGGCCATCAAGAACGCCTTCAAGAAGACCTGGACCAGCTACAAGCGCCATGCATGGGGCTACGACGAGTTGAAGCCCATCTCGTTGGATGGCGTGGACAAGTTCAACGGCTGGGGTGCCACCATCGTCGACTCACTCGACACTTTGTGGATGATGGGCATGTACGACGAGTTCAACGATGCTGTTGCATTTGTCGCCTCCCTCGACTGGAACAACTCTACCCAGCTGCACTGCAACCTCTTCGAGACGAACATTCGGTATCTTGGAGGCCTCGTTGCAGCGTTTGACCTCAGCCAGGAGAGGGTGCTCCTCGAAAAGGCTATCGAGCTCGGCGATATGCTGTACGCCGCTTTCGACACCCCGGATCGCTTTCCCCCGTTCATCTTCAGCTTTGCGAACCTTCGCGCTGGTCAGATAATACCAGACGCCTACCAGAGCGCCGCTGCCATTGGCAGTTTGTCTCTGGAGTTCACCCGCCTCGCGCAGCTGACCAACGACAACAAGTATTTTGACGCTATTGACAGGATCAAGCGTGCCTTTGCGACGATCCAGAACTCGACCCTGCTGCCAGGGCTCTGGCCCAACTTTATCAGCCTCCGCGACGGCTTCCAGGCCCCGAACAACGTCTTCCGCCTCGGCGCCGACGGCGACTCCTTGTACGAGTACCTCCCTAAGATGCACGCCCTTCTCGGCGGTCGCGACCCCGTGTACGCGGACATGTACGTCCACGCCGCGTCCACCACGCGCGACCACCTCCTCTTCCGCCCCATGACCCCCGACAGCGACGACATTCTCCTCCTCGGCAGCGCCATCGTCGACGAACTCACGTCGACGGTCGCACACGTTGCGGAGATGGAGCATCTTACGTGTTTCGCCGGCGGCATGTTTGCCCTCGCCGGCCGGCTCTTTGAACGACCGGACGACGTCGACGTCGGCGCCAAGCTGGCGCGCGGCTGCGCCTGGGCCTACGCCTCCACCGACAGCGGCGTCATGCCGGAAAAGTCGCAGATGCTGCGTTGCCCGAGCCTCGAACCCTGCGCCTGGGACGAGGCGCGCTGGCTCTCGCTCAGCGACACGGCCACCCTCACGGCCATGGTCACTGGCGACGACGATACCGCGACCAAGAGGCCGGCGCCGCGGGGCCACTGGCGCGTCGACGACCCGCGGTACCTCTTGCGTCCCGAGGCCGTCGAGAGCCTGTTTGTGCTGTACCGGGTCACGGGCGAGGCGGAGCTGCAGGACATGGCGTGGGACATGTGGCAGGCGATCGAGAAGGCGACGGCGACGGACGGGGCGTATGCGGCGCTCAGGGATGTGACGGCCGAGACGCCGGAGCAGGCGGACGAGATGGAGAGCTTCTTCCTCGCCGAGACGCTCAAGTATTTCTACCTCCTCTTTTCGGATCCCAATTTTATGAGTCTGGATGACTGGGTGTTCAACACGGAGGCGCATCCTTTCAAGAGGCCGGGGACGGCGTGGGTCTGAGGACAGCTCGTGAAAGAGGCGGGGTTAGCGGGCATGAGGAAGGTGCCTGGGAATGGTGGATGTAATGGTAATGAGGGGCGAGCCGTGTAGCTCCGGAGGTGGGGAAGGAGAGAGAGCAGGGTGCCGGCACCACGGGATGATGATACCCAGACGCAGACCATGTTGACGTTCGGCATGTTGCCACGCATTTGTCCCTGTGCATGCGTTCCCTATGCACGCCCACAGGCATGATGACCACAGGCCTAAACTGCAGGCATAATCCAACAGACCGTACCAGATTCGAGTTCGTCATTCATTTGTCTTGCTTGAGAAATGTCTATATGTCCCCTTTTTTTTCTCCCTCTGGCCGTGGTCTTCACCCACGACCGCCGCAGCTGCATCCACAGCCGCTACAGCTGCATCCACAGCCGCTACAGCTGCACGTCCTCGTCGCTGATATCGGCCTCCTCCTCGACGTTCTGCTTGAAGATGACGCGCTCGGCGAGGGCCAGGGCGCGGCGCACAGGCAGCCCAACGACATTGTCAACGCCGCCGTCGATGCGGTCGACGAGCAGGATGCCGCCCATGCCCTGCAGGGCGTAGCCGCCGGCCTTGTCGGCGCCCTCGCGGGTCTTGACGTAGGCGTCGACGACGTCGTCGGGCAGGCCGTCGCCCTCCTGGACGAAGAAGACCTTGGTCTCCTCGGTGTGGGCGGCGATCTCGTAGCCCGGGTGGGCGGCGTCCTCGCGCGGGGCGATGGCGACGACGGAGGTCAGGACGCGGTGGACGACCGTGTCGCGCAGGTGCTGCAGCATGCGCAGGTGGTCGGCCTCGGAGCGGGGCTTCTCGAGGATGCGGCCGTCGCGCGTGACGATGATGGTGTCGGCGGCGAGGACGAGGTCGGGGTCGGGGACGGAGGCGAGCGAGGTGCGCAGGGCCGTCTCGTAGACGTCGAGGGCCTTTTGGCGGGCGGTCGCGGCGACGTACTCGTGGGGGCCGTGGGACTTTTTGTCAATGTTCTCGGGCAGGGCGGAGGGGGTGATCTCGAGGTTCGTGAGGCCGACCTGGGCGAGGAGGGCCTTGCGGCGCGGCGAGGCCGAGGCGAGGATGACGCGCTTGGACTTGAGGTGGTCGATGATGGGGAGCTTGAGGGGGGGCAGCGGCGTGCCGGCGGGACGGGGTTTGGGAGCGTCGGCCACCTTTTCGGCCATGTTGGCGGGGGCTCGAGGGCTCGAGGGCTCGAGGGCTTGAGGTCGGTGGAGGGCAGCGATGTAGGCGAGCTGAGGTTGTCGATGGATCGGACGAGAAGGCTGCCGCTGCCGTGGTGTGTTCTTGAGGTGAGGTAGGTAGGTACCCAAGGTAGGTAGGTAAAGCAGGTATGGCGGTAGGCAAGATGGGTAGGTTCTTGGGAGTTGAGGTTGCACGAGTGACGTGGGCTGCCGCTAGGTAGGTAGGTAAGGTAGGTACCCTAGGCACTGTAAGGTGATGCACCGAGCTGGCCGGTTCTAGTGGTCAGGGACCTACCCAGGCCTGCAGGCTTGCAGACACCAAGCACCAAGCACCAAGCACCAAGACCCCGCCAAACCCACCCACCCTTATCTAATCACCGCTAGAAGCCCCCCCTAATGAGACGATCAGGGCCTAAGGTCATCTGCAGGCACCTGACCCCCCCCCCCCCCTGGAAGTCCCCTGGAAGCAAAGGCCCGGCGCGCGCTGCAGGGATTCGAGTCGTGCGGGCCGGGTCACGCCCTCTCTGTTGCCCATGTCCTACGTCCCGATCCGATCCCCAAGTCTCGAGCCCCAGACCTCTGCTTCTTCCTCCCCCAACCCCACGAACGGCCCTTTGTTTCTCGCCCCGACATGTGAACGGAGAGACTGCACCATGGCCTCCCCCGCCAAACAGGCCGAATCCCCCGCCGCTGCCGGCGACGCCAATGCCGACGGCGACGACAAGCCGCGCCTGACGGAGGCCGAGAAGAAGCAGAACCACATTGCCTCTGGTGAGTCTGACATGTGACGCCCCTCGGCCCCCCCTCTGGAGCGTCACTCTCGTTGTGCGACAACCACCACCGCGAGAACCTCCCATCCTTTTCCTCTGGGCACACCATGGGCTTCCTGCATCGCATGGCAGACACTGACACGCCGCGCAGAACAGAAACGCCGACAGGCCATCCGCGAGGGCTTCGACCGTCTGACCGAACTCGTGCCGGGCCTCGAGGGGCAGGGTCGCTCCGAGGGCCTCGTCCTGCAGCGGACGGTGCGGTACATGCGCGAGCAGCTCGAGGCGAGGCGCGCCCTCGTGCGCAAGGTCGAGGCCGCTGGGGGCACCGTCGACGACGCTGACCGGCGATAGCGTGCGTGCCTGCTCGGCGCGTGCCTGCTCGGCGCGTGCCTGCTCGGCGCGTGCCTGCTCGGTGCGTGCCTGCTTGGTGCTCGTCCTTCGTCGTCGTGCCGTGCTGCGTGGGATGGAGGAACTTGATGAAGAGGGAAAAACAAGACAGACACAGGCGCATTGATTCTGACATGACGGGGATTGGGTGGCTCCGATGTGCTTTCTGTCTGTTTATTTTTATTCGTTTGGAAAAGACCATGTGCTGCTTCCTATGATACAATGCATCCATGACATCCATCGTACACGGTGACCCGATGCCGCACCGTACACACATGGGCCCACGTCGGCCCACGCACACTACTGGTACTTGTCGACCAGTTCCTTCATCCGGCTCAGCAGATCCGTCGGCGTCAGGTCCTCCCTGCTGCGCGTGGCCGCGTCGCGGCTGTTGAGCGTGACCGTGCCCTGCTCGACGTTCTGCTTGCCCACGACGAGAATCATGCCGTACTCCTTCGCCCGCGCCTCGGCGAGCTTCTCGCCGAGGGGTCGCGTGCTGGCGTCCACGTCCACCGTGAACCCCGTGGGGTTCGGCTGCGAGAGCCCGGCGTCGGCACCGCCCTCCTCCCCGATCCCCAGCAGCGTCCTCTGCACCTGGGCCGCCCAGTCGACGACGGGGTCCGTGTCGTTGAGCGTCAGAATGGCCGCCTGCCGCGGATTCAGCCAGAAGGGCCACTTGCCGTTGTACTCCTCAATGAGCAGCGCCATGAGCCGCTCGACGGACCCGAGGATGGCGCGGTGGATGAGCACGGGCGTCACGGGCCCGTACGTCTCGCGGAGCGCCGGATCGACGCCCGCGAGCGGCACGCCGCGGGCCTCGAGCGCCGGCGCCGGCGCGCTGTACTCGAGCCCGAACCGCTGCGGCAGCTGAAAGTCGAGCTGGATCGTGCCGGCCTGGTGCGTCTTGCCGTGCGAGTCGCGCAGCATGACGTCAATCTTGGGCCCGTAGAACGCGCCGTCGCCCGCCTTGACCGTGTACGCGAGGCCCGCCTGCTCGAGGGCGCCGCGCAGCTGCGCCTCGGCCCGCGCCCACTCGGCGTCCGTGCCCATGTAGTGGTCGGCCGGCCGCGTCGACAGCGCAAAGGCGTAGCCCTCGCCGAGGCCGAGCGCGCCGTAGACGCTCTTCATGAAATCGAGCGTCCGGAACACCTCGGGCTGGATCTGCACCGGCCGGCAGAAGACGTGGCCGTCGTCCTGGTGGAAGCGCCGCACGCGCGTCAGCCCGCTGAGCGCCCCCGAGATCTCGTTGCGGTGGAGCGGCGAAAAGTCGGCGTAGCGGATCGGCAGGTCGCGGTAGCTGCGCGGCTTGGACGCGAAGATGAGGCAGTGGCCCGGGCAGTTCATCGGCTTGAGGCCGTAGTCGTCGTCTTCGCCCTCGGCGAGCCGGCTGCCGCCGTCGCCACAGCAGCTCGTCGCTTCGGGCTGGCTGCTCGTCGCTTCGGGCTGGCTGCTCGTCGCTTCGGGCTGGCGCGCGCGACTCGTCACGGTGTACATGTCGTCGGCGTAGTTTTGCAGGTGGCCCGACACCTCCCACAGAGACTTCTTGTAGATGTTGGGCGTGATGACCTCCTCGAAGCCATAGCTGACGTATTGCCGGCGGAGAAAGTCGACGAGGCGGTTGAAGATTCGCGCGCCGTTGGGTAGGAAGATGGGCGACCCGGGGCTGTAGACGGACGTCATGAACAGCTCCTGCTGTGCGCCCACCTTTCGGTGGTCAGGCAGCTCGGGGCTGTCATTTCGAGGAGGTGTCGCCTTGGCCGAGGAAAATCGTGATGGCTTGGCGAAGGGGCTCTTGGGGAGTTGATGGGATCGATGGAAACAGCGCAGAGCCTGTCGTGCGAGCCGTGATGGGAGCATCACGTTGGTCTTTGCCAATGGCAAGTCATTGTCAGAATGTGTGACAGAGAACCTGGACCACCATCCAGCAGGTGCCTCTCGCAAAATGTAGACAGGGATCGAGCAACCTCGTTTCTGAAAGAGGACTAGTGACTTGGCCAGGTGCCTTCGGTGAGACCCGGTGAGCCCACTCCTTGCCGCTTGCCCCTCAATTCCTCTTCCTCCTTCCCCTTCCTCCTTGGAGGAACTATCGATAAGCCAATTCACTGACTAATCCTTTGCGACGGCCGCCATAGGCCGTTCTTCTGCTGCTCGGTCTCCAGCCCAGGCAACTTCACCTCAACACCAACATCGCCATCGTCACGCGCCTGGTCGCCGCAGAATCTCAACCCTTCCTTACGGGGCTCGACCACTGCGATTTTCTGCAAAGCGCCAGTACAAGAGAACGGTCTCTCGTTTGCCATACACAATAGATATTCCCGCCTTTGCGCGCCTTCTTCGTCCCGCACGAGTCGCTCACGTACCGTCTGAGATCGCCACCGTTTCCCCACTAAGGAGAACCTGCCCTACGGTACCTCACGTTACAGTGTGGACTGTCCCGTTGACGCAAGTCTATGAACATCAAGCTACTTGGTACGTCTTACCTACAGCAGAGGCTTTGACTTTCGGTCTGCTGACAAGGTACGCAGAGGCCGTTCCGTCCCAAGCCCCATGCAGACAAAGACCATCCGTCCACTTCGAACCTGACCGCAACTCCGCCGCTGCCTTTGTTCTTGCGGCACCACCCCAAGCGAAT